CCTATCCCGGCAAGAAATCACTGTGATGACATTCTCGTTTGTTCTTGCTGAACTATTAGGTATACTTTTGGAATAACTAATATAATTTTCAGGTATATTTTATATTAACTATCTACATAATTCTTAAGTTTTTTACACTTTCAAAAGTAAATAGACTAACGTAGATTGCAATTAATATATGATATTAAGTTACATGAAAGAAAAAATATTTTGCCCACCCATCTCAAAAAGTCACGAGCCGCCACTGATAGATTGCATTGTCGAAACCAAGAGAGTTGCACGAACTAAATTTGGACAGGACATAGCTAATACAATGCGAAACATCGCCTTAAAAACTACGACTAAAAAGTAGATGCGCCTTTAACCTCGGTAAAAGTTGAACGGTCATTTTCGTCTTTGTGATGGTAATTTGATAACTTTTGCTCGTACTTAATTACATGCTTTTTATGGTAAGTTCCATTTGAATTGTTTAATGTAGAAAAATAGACACTGTCCCTTGTCATACTATTATGCAAATACTTACATATATATTCTTATAATATAAAGAGTGCAGTTATAAGAATGCAACGGTTGTATCACTTTTTGTTGGCCTACAGCCAACCCTGTACCACATTGCAACCGCCCTAACATTTCCGATCTCTGTTAATAATACGTACTTTCATTTTTCAGTATCTTTTATTTTTACACATTTTCTAGAACATAACGTTTTTTACATGTACTTATAATTTTTAACAAAAAAAAGAAATAAATATTTCACATATTTTTTGATCAGCCAGAATTACATGTTATAATCACACTTTTATACTGAAAACATGTTGTGGCAAACAGATTATGGAAATACCATCCCCATACGACTTCGTAAGATTTTGCATTTTGTGACATGTGATACCTATATTTTTTATATTGATTGTTAGCAAATGTTAAACATATTACAGTTATAGACCAAACAGCGTGGCTAGGAATAAATGTACTGTTTTTGACGACCAGCGTTTGCGAGAAAGTATACACGGCTGGAAAATCCACATAGTCCATTTGCCCTTACGTGAGAGTGACAGAGTAAGCCATGGAAATCCATACGATGGACAAGGAGTACTATATTGAAGACATTTCATAATCTGAATAGTCAATAGGATGCGTTCGGTTAGAAGTGACTATTCAGATTATGAAACGTCTTCACTGTGCGTGAATGCAGCTAAGAGCTCGCCCTCTGGCGGTGACAAGTGATACTAGTGAAACAAGGTAAATATTTCTTGTGTGTGACATTTCGTTTTCAAAACTTCAGCAGTTATGGACATTATCTAGGGTTATGGATAAAAAGAAGAAATTGTGGAACTATTATTGTTCAGTTCATGGTTGTTCTTCATGGTCCAAGAAAAATCCATAATTAAGTTTTCATCAAATTGAAGAAATTTTCAAAATATTATTGCCGATAGATAATACTCCCTGAATATCATGAGGGTTGTTAGTAAGTAAGGGCACTAATTTGCAAACACAATGAATAAATTTCTAAATTTAAATCACTTTGCCCAATTTTCCCACATAGTACTACATGACCAGCGTTAAAAACTGCCTCTCCTTCTGATATATAACGAGAGTTTTCGTTGGCACTTAAATAGGAAATGTTGGTATTCCACAACGGATAACTTCATAGTTATAACCTCAAAAAATGCACATTAAATTGTAATGCTAGAAACAAACAAGATAGACATAAATACTTGCATTAAAATTTATTTATGAGATATTTGAAACCTATAAAATATCAAAAAAGTCAAATAACCGCAGTTTAATAACAAAATTACTAATAATAATAGGAAATAAAACGAATGTTGTTCAAATTAATCCGTAAACACGAACGGCAATGTCAAAATTACATTGTCTAGGAGCTTACCGCTTTCGCCGCTTGATGCGCTTGCATCTTAAAAATTATCGCGGATAGCCATCCTTATCAATCGCACGGATTTCTTTACTTTACCTTGTCGCCCTCATGTAAAGGCAGATGGACCATGTACCGTTGCCAGCCGTATATATCAAGTATATTTTTAACATAAAAAATGTTTCTATTTTTGGGGAATGATAGCATGTCTTTCCCTTATGGCATACGACGCATTGCCTTTGCATTAATATATTTTTAAAGCTGTGTGACGCACTTTTCTTCGGTTCTCTCTCTATGGATCGTTCGGTGTAAATTTTTATTACTTTTAACTATGGTGTGTCCACCCCCTGTAATTTAATTTTTCGGAACGGTCTTCTATTCCTCGGACTGGACTCTAAACGGTAATGTTATTTAATAACTTATATAGTCGGTTTTATTCTCGGGCGCCAGTTTCCCTAAATTTGACGTGGGGGAAACTCCACGTATCCCTTANGTTTGCGAGAAAGTATACACGGCTGGAAAATCCACATAGTCCATTTGCCCTTACGTGAGAGTGACAGAGTAAGCCATGGAAATCCATACGATGGACAAGGAGTACTATATTGAAGACATTTCATAATCTGAATAGTCAATAGGATGCGTTCGGTTAGAAGTGACTATTCAGATTATGAAACGTCTTCACTGTGCGTGAATGCAGCTAAGAGCTCGCCCTCTGGCGGTGACAAGTGATACTAGTGAAACAAGGTAAATATTTCTTGTGTGTGACATTTCGTTTTCAAAACTTCAGCAGTTATGGACATTATCTAGGGTTATGGATAAAAAGAAGAAATTGTGGAACTATTATTGTTCAGTTCATGGTTGTTCTTCATGGTCCAAGAAAAATCCATAATTAAGTTTTCATCAAATTGAAGAAATTTTCAAAATATTATTGCCGATAGATAATACTCCCTGAATATCATGAGGGTTGTTAGTAAGTAAGGGCACTAATTTGCAAACACAATGAATAAATTTCTAAATTTAAATCACTTTGCCCAATTTTCCCACATAGTACCACATGACCAGCGTTAAAAACTGCCTCTCTTTCTGATATACAACAAGAGTTTTCGTTGGCACTTAAATAAGAAATGTTGGTATTCCACAACGGATAACTTTATAGTTATAACCTCAAAAAATGCACATTAAATTGTAATGCTAGAAACAAACAAGATAGACATAAATACTTGCATTAAAATTTATTTATGAGATATTTGAAACCTATAAAATATCAAAAAAGTCAAATAACCGCAGTTTAATAACAAAATTACTAATAATAATGGGAAATAAAACGAATGTTGTTCAAATTAATCCGTAAACACGAACGGCAATGTCAAAATTACATTGTCTAGGAGCTTACCGCTTTCGCCGCTTGATACGCTTGCATCTTAAGAATTATCGCACGGATTTCTTTACTTGTCGCCCTCATGTAAGGGCAGATGGACCATGTACCGTTGCCAGCCGTGTATATCAAGTATATTTTTAACATAAAAAATGTTTCTATTTTGGGGGAATGATAGCTTGTCTTTTCCTTACGGCATACGACGCATTGCCTTTGTTAATATATTTTTAAAGCTGAATATAATAAAACATACGGACAAGTTTTAAAAATTTTATTCCCCGTCTATGGCTTATGCAAAGATGAATCATGTGTGTCTACGTATCTACATATCTACGTATTCAGTTAAATGATATTATTTTTTTGAGTTTTGATTAATGTTTTAACAATAAATGAAACCCCAAAATGTAACACAATAGTCAAAATGTACTTTAACATACGATTTTTAGAAGGGTGCATAAAATTCTATAATATGGTTTCAAAGTACTATTTTACTACTTTGCATGAACTGCAGTTTGTACTTTTAACTCTGTAATATTAGAGCCTTGGAAACAAATTTAACTTCCAAGTACTAAAATCGATAGTAAACGTTTCAAACTTCTCAACTGGTCTAAATTGACACTTATACTTTACTTACATGTAAAAGCTATTTTCGCGCATAACACAGTGCTCAAAATTTGAATTGGGTCACCAAAAAATAGGTCGGTTCGGAATTAATGTAAAAGGTTAATCAATCTTAGAACAAGTTGTATCATGCTAAAGGAAATTTTTTTATTTTAAATCAAGTATGACAGGTGGTATGACTTTCTTTTTGTTCATGCAGACATTTTTAGTTGGATTTAAAAAAATGACTTGAAAATATAAAACGATTTATTGTTGTAATTGTAATAGATGGCTTTGAAAATAAAACGTCCATACTTTTGTGTATCGGGTACATATAAAATTTCAGTCACATATTTCACTGCATCCATAGGGTTGAATAACGTGGGATTACAATGCAAAGTACAAGGTTTTACAACTACACTATTAGAGAACTGTTAACAATATATAATTCTATTTGTTTACCATTGTACATTCTATATATAATACAAATAATACAAAATACAACTACTACAAAAGTAATAGGGAACAGTTTATCAAGTTAAAGCTGATTTCGAATAGCACTTTAACAGAGGATCAATACACACTTCTGGATAACACATTTCCCCAAACCATAAATTTCCCACAGAGATCTGTTGAATAAAATATAAAATATAAACCATCCGGTTGAATATTTATATGTACTTACAATAAAAAAAGTATCTCCGAAGTAAATATCTCGACAGTCGTAAAAGTCCATTCGTTCTTTCTCGAGTGAGAGCAACAGCCAATGAAACAAGGCTAGCTTTTCTCGTAAAACTGCTCTGGAATTGTGAAATTTTAAATGAAGTTTCCTTAGAGCATCGTTGCAGGCTTATAATCTAAGAAGAGTGTAGTCAGCCTAGCATACAAAAATGGGTATTTTGCAATGTTTTATCTAGAAATAACATAAAAAATCTTGCAAACAATAAAAAACATTAAAGAAGTTATGTAATTATGTAAACTCTTTAGTGATATTTGAAATGCTGTGACTTCATGAATAATGGTCGTATCGAGAATAAAAAAAGCATCTTGAAGCTTGAAAATTCTAGTTTTGAAATCTGGAGATGAAACATTTTTTTGGTTCCATTCCAAAACTACAACTTGTCCGTAGCTCATTCCGTCTCTTTGTTTCAGCATCCTCTTCGCCGACATAGTGGGTTTCACTGTGCTGGCATCACAGTGCACCGCTCAGGAATTGGTCAGACTGCTAAACGAACTGTTTGGGCGATTCGACCAACTAGCAAATGTAAGTACAGTTAATAGTTTAATTGTAAATAGTCAGAAGTCATTGGACGAATTGGAGGTACTTGCACCTGAACTAAAAAATGTCTCATATTGTAAATATCTCACGAGAAAAACCAAAGCCTCATTCACCTCCGTTAAGGCTTGATATATACAGGATGTATCGTTATAGACGAGCACCAGTCGCGACAACTTTAATGTGCACGTATGTTTGTAGAAGATGACACAAATCTAACAACACTTATTGTCAGAACTGTCACCAAAAACACTAGAATTGAGTTAGTACCAATTTTTTAAGCTTAATATATCATTTAACAACGATAGTAGTGAATCCTCGTGTCACATACAAAAGTAAAGTAATCTTGTTTTATATAAAATATTAGGTGTCTTCTGTTTGTTTACTTTGTGAAATGTTGGACCTAATGTTAAAACCTAGAGAATTTCTATGAAATAGTCTGTTTACTTTCATTCTCTTTTAATCTTTATTAACATGTACAAAATGTTGAATTTATTAGAACTATGTACCCTTTTTAATAGTTATAATTTCCATACCTGTGATTAAATAAAAACTATAAACTCGATAAAAATACTGTTTTGAAAAAAAAAATGCTACAAGTAATTTATTTTATCATTTATAATATTAAAAAAATAAAATATTTAAGTTTATCCACATTTTAGAACTGTCTTGAACGTAAGACGTGTCGTTTCCGGGCAAATAAATATTTAATTTATATCCATTCTTTTAGTGTCTACATTAAGTATGTTTTTCTTATTTAGATATTTATTATTTATATCTTAAAGAACAGTTTTTTTTTATTTTTTTTTTATTAAGAATTTTTATAATAATATTAACATTCATTTCTTTAACCTTAGCTAGGAATCTTTGACTTATTTTTGTTGTTCTCGGGCTAGCTTTTGTGAGGGGCGTACCTGCTATTAGAACCCCTAAGCCCGCCCTTATATTCATTTCGGTTCTTATTGCGTCTAAGGCCACTTCTAGGAATAACTATATTCTGAGGTAAAATTTCCTAGTTTTGTGTAGATATTTGTTGTTAAGTAACTTTAACTACCAGCAGCAAATTATAAGTAGTCTTATTAACAAACCCTGTTCATAATTATTACTAATAAGTCTTTATATTCTTCTTTGCTAGAGAAATTATAAACTTTTTACCTAAAAATAGTATTCGTATAGACTTAATGAAAAGTACTACCTCGAAATATCAATTGTAGTAACAAAAAACCTTATATTTAGAGAAAAAGTCAAGATAATATACAACCTTTTAGGTTGTCATTATAACTCAGGGTGTTTTAAAGATTACAAGTTCGTATAAACTACCTTTAGTACAGGCCATAGTCCTCATCCACGATTCACGTTTGCATCACTTCTACAACGATAACCTCGTCTAAAATAATTTTTTTATATACAGGGTGTTTCTGAAATAAGTGCGTTCTTTGAAAAGGATGATAGCCACTGATGGTCTAAACTAAATGCATCTGTTTTCAAGAAAATTGAGAAAATTAACCATAAATGTAAATCGACTCTGTGCATCTTGTGCACGTGCACAGCCAAATTGCGTCGGACTCGATACATGCGTGAAGCGCCTCTCTAATTAGCTGACGGTCCACGTGACGTCTACAATCAAACAAATTGATGGTAGGACAGTATGTCGTGTCCTTTAGTTGTTTGTTAAAATCATCACGTTGTACAGAAATCTCGGTTCCAGCAACGGTTTTCAGTGAATGCGCGATGTGAAGTTTTTGGTGACAGATTTTTGACCGTCGTTTGGAAACATGTTTATTAGCAAATGGAAACAACTGAACAATTTTTGTAGAGCATATCGTCTATTGGTAAGTAATTCGTTTATTCATTTAATTTTTGTCTTACTTTTAAACGAGATTTGAATAAATTTCAATATTTTCGGATACAAAATTTAAACCGTTAGAACCGCCATCAGCCCTTTTTCACTGCGGCGCGCGGCAGCTTCGAAATCAAAGGTACAGCTGGACGCCACACCAGGGACGGCTTTAAATTTGTTTCAACTTGCTTTAGACCATCAGTTGCTCTATAAAAGTTGCTCATTTTCGCACCCTTTATCACCCTTTTTAAGGAACGCACTTATTTATATCAAATATATTGAGATCAAATAAAATTATTGATAGCAATTTATAAGTTTAAATTAAAATTTTTCTTGAATAAGACATGGTAAAGGGAAAAAGGTTTAAGTATAAAAAACATTATCATTTTGGTCAAATATCGTACATACCAAAGGTATTATTGGAAAAACATAATCAAAATTAATTAGTAACAGCAAGTGATATAAAAAAAATAAAAATTTGGAAGATTATTGACTAGTTACGAAAGAATTGGTCAGAGACAGATGTTGAAAAGAAGTAAAGTGGGAAAAACCCATATAAATAGAAATAATTATAGTGGAAAATAGTAAGATAATTAAAGTTAGTCAACCAGTATAAAAAAAATTTAAAGTTGAGCCAAAAAAAGGATTCAAAAGTCCGGTCTCTTAAAAAGGACTCCAATAAGAATCCAGGACGAGATTCCAGACACATAAAAGTAAGCAGCAGGCTCCGGCTATCCAGAAATCTCAAGAAAACGAGGATTACAGAACGAGATTCCAGACGAATAAAGTAAGCAGCAGGTTCCGGCTATCCAGAAAACTCAAGATAGCGAGGATTCCAGTACGAGATTTCAGACGAATAAAGTAAGCAGCAGGTTCCAGTTATCCAGCAGTATCAAGAAAACGAGGATTCCAGGAACGAGGTTCCAGACGCATAAAGTAAGCAGCAGTTTCCAGCTATCCATTAACTGCAGGAAGATGAGGATTCCAGGATGATATCCAGGCCGAATATAAGAAGGCAAGCAGTTCGACAATAAAAATTGACAAGATATACGTAGAGGTAACTTTGTGCACAAAGAATTACAAAATCATATAAGATAAAGCTAGCAAAACCTATAGGAAAATAAATTTGATATAAAAACAAATTCTTCATCCCTGATAAATATTAAATAAATTTAACTACACTATACGAATAATATTAAAAAATTTCGGCCATATTAAAATTTTGATAGATATTAAGTATTAAAGTAAGCATAGTAACACATTGAGAAAGAAATTTTAAGATCAAATTATATCGCTTTATGTATAGGCAATCAACAGTACACTATAACAAACGATTTGAATACCACTATATGAAAAATTCTCAAAGTGTCACAAAAGTGCTATAAGATAATTCCAAATATTCTTGAAATTGTGCCTGACATTTCACAGTTATATTTGATTGTTATATAAAAAAATAATAAACTAATAAATTAATTAATTTCTGATTAATATGTTTTGTTAAGTGTGGTGTGTTTGGTTTTCTGCAGAGTTTTAACCTCACTTGAACTCACTACTGAGAAGGGTCGAAAGCTAGCCAGGGTATAATTGACAACATAAATTACAACAGACATATATACACAACAGGATCATAATTATATTAATTACACAAACAAATCACTTACACATAAATATTTCTACTCATAACAATATATACTCGTCTCGTTCAACTCTGAAAAGTGCAGCGAAAATATCATTTTGCACCGTATCACCCCAAATTGCACGACTTTTCATCTAGTTTCAAATACAACTTCATATCCCCTTCCCCTTCCGGGTCGCTGGAACCTCCCCCCGTAAAATGTCGAAGTAGAAGCTGCCAAAACTCGTCGTTAAACGTTATTGAATTTACATTTCAATGAAGGAGACAGTTGTTAATTCGTAAGACGTATAAGCCCCCATTAATTTTCAAACTTTCCCTTCGGAGATTCATCCCCTGCGATCCGCCTAAACGTTCGGGATTATCGGAACGGAGTTAATTTGGAAAGTGGAATATTTATCCGGGGGTAAATAAGTACTTACGAAGGTATTAATAATACGCTTACATTCGGATGATGTATCTCATCGAGGATAACTGATTATTTATGCTTGAATAAAGTTTACATTTAAATGTTCACGAACATGGGGCAGAAGAGTTTAATGGTCCCGTGGGGGTTGCTTTTTTCTCAAAGGGTAACGCGGAAAGTTTTTAAGATACATTTTAATATAAAATATATAGCGGAAGGATTAATATAAAAATGAAATATAAGAGACTTTGTTTGTTTGAAAAGAAAATATATGTATCTATTTCTCGAAAAGGGAAAATACGGGGTATTTCAGAAGATAGTAGTAGGAAATTAAAATATATAAAATTAATAAAATAAATTGTAGTATTCAAAACAGAAGAAAAAATGTTGTCCTTGAATATATTACAAACTTCATCTCCTTCTGGAATTTGGAAATTAAAAAACACTATGTTTATAATTTTGCGATAGAGGTTCTCTGTTCTTTTAATTTTTGCTATTACATATTTGAAGATATTTTTATCTAGATTTTCGATACTTTTATAATCTCTGCTTTTTTGGCTAAAAAAGATTGTATATATAAAAATCTATAAAAAATCAGTGTTCTAAATTTTTTTATCGTATGACAATCCAAAACCGAGTTCAAATTCCTTGCTCCCTATTTGCTAAAATCGGTTTTTCCGACCCTTCTTTAAAAATGGAGTAGATTAAAGGAAAATCACATAGACATTATATAAAATACATACTCAACACTAAGTTGGAGATACTAGACATCAAAATATTATGTTTGAGCTCCTCATGCCTTATACGAATGTCGCTGATTTATGAAATACAGGATATTCAAGGTTTAAATTTTATTCTGAAATAATTGAGAAAATTTTGGTAGCATGACTGAAAATTAGTAGTATTGGGTTTTTTTAGTGTGAGAATTACGAATTTGAAGCTTATTTTGCCGTTTTTTTATTTGTTGAGCTATGCTTAATAAAGTTAAAAATCTAAAAGAACGTTCAATTCTACATAAAAAATGTATTCTTGTTTAGGTCGCCTAACTTTATCGTTTCTGAGTTATTTGCATATAAAAGTGTATTTTGTGGTGATTTTTTATTGTGGCG